ATTCTTATTCATTCATATCTGTGTTTTTCATATTACATCCAACCACAACATATATAATACACAAATGTAACGGAAGATATAATGTAGTCATAAATCTCCTGACCGTTACATAATCAACACTAAATATAATGGCCACACTAAATACATATTTATAACACTCCCCCTTGGACATTATTTGGCCACGATCTTGCCTCATTAAAAACTTGCTAGGAAAACCTGTGGGAAAAACCTAGACAATAAGAGAGTACAATAGAAAATAGATTCATGCCTCATTAAAAACTTCACTAGGAAAACCACGTGGGAAAAAAACCTAGTTGAAGAAAAGAGTACATGATATATGTAAAAACATATATTGTATTGGTCGCCTCGTTAAAAACCTTAACTTAAGAAAACCCTGTGGGAAAAACTTAATTAGTTAAGGGAAAAAGAGTACACCATAAGCCTTCAGGACATAATCTGCATAACCTTCAGGATTTTGGAGTTTGTTCATTTATTAACCAATTATTTTGCAACTTTTCCCCATTGTCATTACTATATCATACTCATGCCTCGTTAAAAACCACACTAGAAAACCCATTGGGAAAAACCTAGTGAGGAGAAGATTACATGGTATGTATATGCTGCAAAATGTATAACTATTAGTCATTTTAAGACCCAATCTACAGGATTGACTGGAGTGAATGTACTTCCTGTCTCCCCCTGAAGATAACAATCTTCAAATTCTATATTGCCTGTAAAATCATTGTTTTTAAAGGGTGTAGAGAAGGAATATGGTACAATCTTCAGGATTGTCATTATAATTTATCATATTTTCTCATGATCATCTGGACCAATAAAATTATTTATAATTTATATTTTGTTGCTCCCCTAAATATAATAATTTTTCTTTACATACACATATCAATCTTATGGATATTTTGTGGGTATACATTTGCTAACTTGTCACTGGAGCAAACCTTCTAAACAAATATTTTATCACTCTTCTGGAGTTCATGTGGATCAAGGTATTTTATATCATGAAAAACTATATACATTTTTATCTGTAACAAGTATGATGACTTCATGCCAAAAAGCATCAATACGAGTATTTTTACCTTGATTTGCTATTCGTTATCTTATCCCATAACTTAACATCATCAAACTCTTTATATATTTCATTGATGTTTACACCATAAATATTGACTGAGATAATAAATAAGTCCATTACCAACTCTTTATTGAGCACATAATGGTACATATTATTCCTTCTATATGAGGATAATAACCCCATTCGCAACTCTCTAAAAAGTAAATAATGACACTTAAATAAATCCTCATTTCGGGAATTATAAATCCATTAGGGATTTTCAAGATAAACTAGAGGATATATTTAGGATATTTTCAAGAGGAAACGATATTTGAGTTTCCCAATCACATATAACATTACTAGGCATGTTTATGATAATATATTTTCATACTTTGTAATGGGGGGAGAAAATACCTTTAGTCAATTTATTGACTATAAGAAAGATCATAGTTATTAGTAACTTACTAACTTTTATACTTCTTATTTTGTGATTTTCATTCATCACACTTTGAGAAAATCCATCAAGCTAGGATTTTAAATATACCCATATAAATATGTGATAACTATAACTGTTAGCTACATATATAATTTATTTACTGCTAGTTTTATTGAATAGCGGAATATAAAGCCATTATTATAATTGGGTCTCTGTGAAAACCCTCCACTCGCCTTTTATTAGCGAATTCTGATTTGTATGCCTTAATTGCTATTTTCTATGAAAACAGTTAGCACGCTGCAGGCGTTATACTACTATTTTCATTTCTGGATCCAGATTTTATGAGCAATAGAGGCAAAATATGTTGTCGACAACTGTAACAGCTTTGTAAATATCTTTTATACACATGGCAATTTTGTATCAACCAAATATAGGGCATTTCCCAAGAGTATTTGGATTTGGTTGTTCCGCTTCCCCAGTATTTTAGTTATTTGGTGCACCTACAATTTTACTAGGGGTTTTCGCCTTCTAGACGAATATCTTCAGGATAACATTTCTATATTTCTGGAGTGACGAAATTTCTATACTAGATCTAGTTTTATAAATTCTTAAACAAATATATGCTTCTGGCATAATGGTAGAGATGTTTAGTCCTAGTTGGGGATTTCAACTCTTAAAATATTTTCTATGGACTTAGTCACTCATTGAGATTTCTAGCAGATAATTTGTTCAATGACTGAACTTCTGGTTCTATAAGGCTAGTACATGGGTTTGAAGATTTTTATCAATTTCTCGACATTTAATTAACTATAAATTTCAAATCTCCCCCTAATGCCGAGAAAAGATCTTATTACGCAACCAACATCACTGTTGATTTCTCATGATGAGATATAGCTAGAAGGGTTTCATACTAAAAAAAATTGAACGCAGAAAGGGAAATGCATCATGTATTAGCGTATGTGATATGTAGTGGATCAGGATATTCAATTTTTGAAGGTCCCCAAAAAGAATATTTCCTCAAAAAATACTTAATTATTGATAGGCGACCAATACAATATATGTTTTTACATATATCATGTACTCTTTTCTTCAACTAGGTTTTTTTTTTTTTTTTTTTTTTTTTTTTTTTTGACAATGAAATACCAAAAAGGAAACATCGATATTGCAATCTTCCATCCATAAGCATGATTTTGAAACATATATATAATAATACTGGTAACTCATAATAATCATGTCTATATTAAAAGAATGCTCATTTCAATTACCATAATAACCAATATATTCTAAAAAAAATGGCATATTTTATTATCTATACAAAGAATGATAATACCAAATTGCCAATTATTAAGATTTTTAAAGGGATGTAATTTACCAAATACCCAGAGATTGACAGGTCATAAAAATGCAAAACCATGCCCATTTTCACAAACATTCATCTCCCAAATAAAACTACTTCACTGTCAGAAAGCAATGGAGGAGGTGCAAAAAGAACTTTACCGGACAGAGGAGCACCACTATTCGCAATACTGCCGGATACCCGTCGCCACCACTCCTCCACCGTCGCAGACAACCGCGTGAATATCGGACAGCGACGTTAATGGACTAAGCCGGAGAATGAAACGACGCTACCATTGCCGCCGGATCTGCCAGACGCCATTGTCGCCAGATAGCGCAGGTACGCAAGCCACCGCCAATCGCTGTTGCCGCGTCTACCATTGCCGCTGGACGGGGGGAGGGGCGATCGCCATCAGCCGCCGCCGCTGCCGATGGACGCCGGGCGATTGCGAGCCGCCGCTGCACCTGCCGTCTTCCGTCGACGACAACCAGCGCGGCATTGGCGTTGCCTCCAATGACCCAAACGCCGTTGACATCCAAAAGACAGGTTTTGGTGATATTTTGAGAAAACATACATATATATTTACGCAGATATGCTATGCAGGGTGTATTGAGGTGCTGATAACGTGTTGTAACCTATTAGCTCAAACATGATTGATTGATCAAAGAAACTGCAGAGAGTGAAAGTAAGAGACAAGGCCAAGAGGATATTCTTATTCATTCATATCTGTGTTTTTCATATTACATCCAACCACAACATATATAATACACAAATGTGACGGAAGATATAATGTAGTCATAAATCTCCTGACCGTTACATAATCAACACTAAATATAATGGCCACACTAAATACATATTTATAACAAATGTTAATATTTTTTATTGAGACTCACAGGATGAATTACTAATCATCAATTGTTATATTAGAGCATCCCCATTAAAGGGATTGTTTACGATTTTTAAAGAAAAATTGCCATATTGGATGAGAAAGAAACATGTGAGAGAATGTTAGAGGTCTTCCTGCTAATTTTGAGATTTTTTCAGTTTGTGAGGCCCAGTTGTGCAAAAGGAAGAGCCGCCGCCATGTGTGTGAAGAATAATTCGCGTCCACGCGCCAGCTGGACACGTTAATTACCTTTTTTTTCCCCTAATTTAGTTTTATTTTCACTATTTTTTATTTCCTCTCATCTTCTCTTTCCTAATCACACTTACAAAAACTCCTCAAAAATTACACTAAAATTCCCACTATTAAGGATGTCCTTAGTAATAAAAAGTGAGGAAGTAGCTAGAAATAAGGAGTACATGTAATTGAACCCCTTTTTAAAGCTTTCCTATATCATCACAGAATATGCTACATGGACTCATGTTTCTTATTTTTAACTCTTATTCTCTCTCATACAAATTCTTGATGTGGACACTTTTTATGAGACTTACACGATAAAAATATTGCATCCTTATTTGCTACATCATTTAAGTAAAAGTGAGAGAGTAGTTCACTTCCTAGGCAACTGCAGTACTTACGCAGTTGTTATACAGTGGACTGTGGTCCACACAACACTGTGTGGACTATGATCGTCAAATAAAATTGTAGTGAAATTAAAATGATATTTTAGTATTGCAATAATGAAACTAGTGTATGTGGATAATGAAACTAAAAAACAGAGCACATTATTGTCAAATGAAACTGTAGTATAATTATAATGATAATTTAGTTGCTTAATGCTTTGGTTGTTGGTGGCTTGGAGCCTACCTTTCATGACTTTTCTAGTCTTCCTTCACAGCTCTTTTCTTTTCTTTTTTTTTTTTGAAGTGCAATAATGACTATTTGGCATGCTTCCAAAAGCTAAAAATTAGTTGAAAGGTGAAAGCTAAAAATTAGTTGAAGTTGGAAGCTGAAAATTAGTTGAAAGCTGAAAGCTAAAAAGCTAGAAGCTGAAAAGCTAATATAGTTAATAAGCTAACTGATTAAAATTAATGTGTGATAGATATCCCAAACCGGGCACTCAGCTTGGGGAGCATAAAGCACAGACAGACTCGAGTGCGGCAGAAAATTTATCGATTCATGAGAAATGACCTCTCTCGTAGCCCCTTCATTATATCGTGTTTATGTGTATGTGTTTTATGAACATAAATTCTGTACATTATGAACATGAATTCTATACATTGTGAAGTCAAATTATGTATATTGGATTAGGGTCCACAATGCACTATGAACCCTGATCCACGATATAAATTACCGCCAACGTAAATTATGTCGTGCAACCATGTGCACCATGTATGTTACACACGGTTGCAAAACAACGTCGTTTTGATTAAAAACGACGCAGTCCGACTTTAAAAAAAAAAAAAAAATTGATTGCCGTTAACGGCGTTATGCTGTGCATAATTTGAACTATATATCCAGAATTAATGAAGTATATATCTAGAATTAATGAACTATATATTCATAATTAGTGAACTATATATCCACACCGGTTACTGGTACTCTGTGTTGGCTTATGTCAGTTCGCTACTTCTGTGTATTCAAAATGAATAAACTATATATTCAGAATTAATGAACTATAAATTCAAAATTAGTAAACTATATATCCAGAATTAATGAATTATATATCCATGATTAATGAACTATATATCCATACCGATTACTGGTACTGTGTTTTCAGAATGAATGAACTATATATTCATATTGGTGGAGTTAAAAAAAAATAAAAATAAATAAATAAATAAAAACTGATTGGTGGAGTTAAACGGTGCCATTAACGACACCGTTACTCTACCAAAGTGAAACGACATTGTTTGCAATCGTGTGCATCATGCATGGTGCACACGGTTGGATCATGCATGATGCACACGGTTCCACTGCATAACGATTGTTGTTTCACGGATGAAGACTTGTGTTCTGTTGATGGATCAAAAAAACTCTATAGAGGCGGATCTTGTTGCACAGACCCACATAAACCAAAATTTTCTAGCTTGGAATTGTCGTCAGCTTGGCAACTTAGCGACATTTCAACACTTAATGGACTTATCCATTTAAAGAGGCTCATGTTGGTTTTTCTTATGGAAACTCTAGTAACAAAAAATAAATTGCAATCCCTGAAATTCAAGTTGGGCTTTAGTGGCATGTTGGAAGTTGACTGCTCTATCCATGGAGCGTTATGCTGTGCAACCGTGTACACTTTGTATGGTGCACACGGAATTAAATTCATAATTTTTATAGTATGGATTAATAATTTCTAAATTGTAGATTCATAATTTCTATACTATAGTTTTATAATTTATAAACTGTATAGTTATCAAATTATGAACATATAATTCTGTGATTTGTGAATACAGAGTTCAACAATTGAAAATATGAACATTTAAAATTATGAAAATAGAGTTTTGTAATTATGAATATAAAATTCAATAATTATGAATCTATAGTATAAAAATTATGAATCCAATTCTGTGTGCACCATGCATGGTGCACACGGTTGCACAGTATAATGATGGAAATTGGTGAATAAATCGATACACAAGATATATATATATATATATATAATATATATTTGTCCCGAAAAATGAAATTTAATTTATAGAAAATTAATTCCAACCAATTTTGGTACAAAACCAAAATTACATATATATATATATATATATATATATATATATATATATATATATATATATATATATATATATATATATATATATATATATAACGTATATATATTAACCAAATAGAGATTTATTTTATCAAAATAATCCCACCACAACTAGTACTAAACTAGTACACGGATTTAATCTTTCCAAGATTAATCCCACCACTTGGTCCGAAACCAAGAACAAAAATAAACAAGAGACGGGTTTCTAACCTGAGGTTTAACCCAACGAGAAGAAAGAAGAAGCAGAGGAAGCCCGAGTCGTGTGTACACACACTCTCCTTAAAACCGATTCGCCACCTCCCGAGGGTGCTAGGATCGTTGTGGCGTCAGTCTCCCAGGATAAAACGGACTATGACTTTGGCGTTCGAGCACTCCAACCCAAAGCCCGGCGAACTAGAACACAAGCTGAGCACTCCGATGTTTTACGGAAGATGATGGCAGAATTTCTTTTTCCCCTTTGTAATCGAGCAGGAGAGTTTGAGAGAAAATAAACAAAAGTTTTTTAGAGTTTCAAAACGGAGTTCAAAACATTCTGCCAACATCCACAACTATTTGTAAGGGAAAAGGAATTAAAACATTATAATGGCCATTAATCCAATCATAAATCCAATTTAATAATTGGATAATAACGTTTGAAACGGTCATACTTATTATCGAAATAATATCAATGGTCACGAACTTAATACGCGATTAATTCGTACCGACCATAACGACCCGTTTCAAAATATCTGAGTGACCGAGAAGTCCATACCAACCCGAAGGTTCAACGAATTGGGACCGAAAACCACACCCGAGTGGTCCACACGCACCGAAACGGTGCAGCACAAATCAATGCATATAGCATTGACTCGTGCTCACCGAATCCACAGCACGAAAGGAGCTCACACGAAATGAACTCATAACTCAATTCACTAATTAAGCTTTAGTTCCATTTCTCAAATTAAGCTCCCAAAGCTTAATTACACAACTTTCGTGTAGCACTGAATGCTAAGCACGAAAGGAGCTCCATTCCCAATTCACTAATTAAGCAAACAATGCTTAATTACTTAAGCTTAATCAAGCTTATTTCGTGTACAACGAATCAAAGCTTAATAACAAGTTGCTAACTTAATTAGCAATTAGCTTAAGATTTTGGCTTCTCCCAAATAGGTTCACTTTGAGAATCAATTTCTCATTCACCTATTACCCATTTTGAGCGTACATTATATCAAATTCTTCGTCTCACTACGAAGAACCCGAATCCACTTTGACCCGACCCAAATCGGAAGTGAACCCACATATATTTGTACCACAAAATAATCACTCAAAATGCCATTTTTAGTTAAAAATTCCAACATATAATTTGCCCTCTAGTCATAGTGGAGGCCTAGTTCTATTTTGGACAGATCATACTCGAGTCATGATCCATAATCTTATACAAAAAATGAGTTAATACCCAATATAGTAGTTTTACTTAATTTAGTCCTAAATGATTTTTTTTTTGTGCTTAATTTAGTCCTCGACTTTGATGATTTTACACAATTTAGCCCTTTGTTATAAATTTGTTAATTGACGGTTAGAAATATAATCATAATGGTAATCTTTCATCCTTCATCCCATTTGGGATGATTTCTTCTTCTTCCCCTTGTTAAACTCCACGCAGAAATAGAGATCTTTGTTCCCAAATTAATTTCAACCCTAAATGAATAAATATTTACTTACAATTTTTTTAAAATAGCTTTTTAGTTGGATTTGAGTGCCCAGCCCTTAGAGCATCCATATCAGTTGGAGATATTAGGGGGAGAATGTAAGAGTGAGTAGGAAAGAGAATAATGTGGGAGGGGAGGGAAAAAAAAAATCAAAACTGATTTTATAAAAAAAATATATAAAAAATAAGCATGTCATTTTTCTATTGGTTCCCTTTCCTCCCACATTAATTTTTTTTCTTGGGCAGAGTAATATCCCAACATTTGCAGATGCTCCCCACCCCTTCTCTCTCTTGATTCTCTCTCTGCCACCATGGCATTTTGGCTTCAAAAGTAGTGAATTCTCCCCCATTTCTCCTCTGATGTAGATGCTCTTAGAGAAGTAGCAGAGAAGCAGCAGTAATAAGAAATTATCATTAGGACTCTATTTTTAAGAGTCAACTAACATAATTTTTAACAAATGATTAAATTGTGTAAAACTAGTCAATGACTAAATTGAGCATAAAAAGTTATTTAAAACTAAATTGTGTAATTTCTTTAAGTGGAAGGTTTGGGTTGGGGGGGGGGGGGGGGGGGGGAGTATAGGATATCGCAAAATGGGAGAATTTAATGTGGCTCATTTATGTAAACATGGCTTGGAAACTAATCCAACACCCTTCATCCTTGGCAGGAAGAGGGTAAATTATTGGTCCACACAATATTATGCGGACCATAATAAAAGTATATTTTAAATATACTGAATGTACATTATACAATATAATATATATTCATACAAAAATAATGTACATCCCTTAAATACAATGTACATTATTTTTGTACTAAATGTACATTATTTTTGTACTAAAAACTAAAACAACTCATATACATTTTGGATTAATCTTTCTCAAACCCCCTAATAATTTTTTTTTAAAAAAAAAAAAACTAAAATAAGAAGCCATTAAGATAAGGTTTCTTAAATAAGAGCCTTTTGATACGTAGAGCTTCAATAAGTTGAGAAAGTTTACATGTTACAGGGTCAATCGAATAGTTATGCTGTGGAACCGTGTCCACCTTGCAAGGTGGACATAGTTCTATGTTTATAATTACTAAACTATATGTTCATTATTATAAAGCTATATATTCATAATTTTTGAACTTCATATTCATAAGTACGTATTTAACTCTATATTTATAATTACAGAACTCTATGTTCATAGTTACTGAACTATATGTTCATAATTATAAAGATATATATGCATAATTTTTAACTTCATATTCACAATTATTGAATCTCTATATTCATAATTACATAACTATATGTTCATAATTATGTTCACAACACTATGTTCATAATTATAGAACTATATGTTCATAATTTTTGAACTATATATTAATAATTATGAACAATTTTTGAAATGTGTCTACATTGCAAGGTGGACACATATCCACAATATAATTTGTCACGTTAATAGTACTAAAATAAAAAAAAAAAAAAATTTTGGACTTCTCAATACTTGCCCATATTGATGGGCAAGCAATTATATGTTTGTAAATGCCCTTCTTATATAGAGGAGTTTAAGAGCTCAGCTTTCCAAACATTTCCAATGTGGAATCAAAATGATCCCACATCATTTACAAAGGGGAGCCACCTTTGTCTTCTTCCTATTTTTTTTTTTTAAATTTTAAATTTATTTTGTATATAGTTTTGTTTGGATTATTACATTTGTTGTTGTTGTTGTTATTATTATTATTATTATTATTATTATTATTATTATTATTATTATTATTATTATTATTGTTATTGTTATTGTTATTATTTTAATTTTAATTTTATTTTATTATTATTACATTATTACATAGGATTTTTATTATACTTGAACAATAATATTATCAATTATATTATTATATTATAGAATATAATACCATA